GGCTGCTGGAGCGCGGGCAGCGAGCCCATGAGCGGGGCGGCGCTGGTGGGCTACAGCGGTAGCAGCGGCTCCGAGGATGAGGAGTCGGGCGGCGCCGGGGCCGGGTGGGTGCCGGGCCCGGAGGCTGAGCCGAGCTGGGGGCGGGGGAGGGTGAGCTCCGCAGGGTAGTGGGGGCTGAGGCCTGGGGCCGGGCCCAGAGCACCCCTGGCGTCTCAGCCGGCGGCTCGGCCCTGCCAGCCTCACGCTCGCTCCTTCTGGTCACTTTTTTTTTTTCTTCTCCTGAGCCCTGAAAAATGAGAGAGCAGCTTTTCTCTGGTGCAGAACTGAGAGCCGCCACAGCTGTGGGTTCCTGTCTGAAGCCCAGGTCTGTTGTGGAGGAATTGGGAGGCAGGCCGGGCCACTGTGGCCTCGGTGGAGAATTGCTGCTCTAAAGGCTGTGGTCGCAGGCCAGCTCAGGAGGCATTTGGAGTCTGCATACACAGGCCATGAAGAGGCAGCTAGTGCCTGGCATGACCCTAGCCTAGGATATTTTGGAAACAAAGAAGTGCCCTACAGCTTGCTGTACGTATTAATTAGCTCTCTTCCTTTCCCCATACCCCCATTCTCCTGCAGCCCAACAGCTTCCCGCCTTCCGGTGCCATCCAGTGTGTTAAACATGTTCAGAGACCAAGAGGAGGAGGTCGTGGATGACAGCACCAAGCATGGCGGCCGTGTGCGCAACTTCCCGCATGTGCGGGGCAATTGGACAACATATGTCTATATGCCGTGTAGGTAAATTCAGCTCTTTCCTCTCTGTTCATAGCAATGGGATGTTGAGAGCAGCAGAAGGGGAGAGAGGAAAGGAGAGCTCCCAGAGAGGAGCTGTCTGTCCCCAGGTTGGGTATAGTGTGGTCAGGAGCAGAGGGTGGGACTGATCCCTAGTGCATGGAAACCCATGTGTCAGCCCTGGAACAGGTTTTGTGGCTGCTTTCTCTGCAGACTGACTGGCAGCAGAGCCACTAGTGAGCCCCTCTCCTCCCATGACCTATACTGGCCTAGGCTCTCATCATCTGCTGTCTGTTGGTACAGACAGTAAATGGACTCGCCTCATGAGCAGATCTGGAATGTCCCATTTGTAGAGAAGTTCTGTAACGATTTTCCCAGCCAGATCAGCTGCATTCTTAGGAGTCTTAATAGCGGCTGTGTTTACATTTTGTGACTTCTGGGCTCCCCTTTGGTTCTGACTTCAAAGTTGTAATGGACATGTGAGTGAGAGAGGAGCCTGCACAAAACGTGTGCGTCCTATGAGATGTGTACTCCACCTGGTGTGTGACCTGGCAGTAATGGCTACTGGTGAATTCCTGGGTTGGGACTTTTCTAAAATTTAGAAAAAATATCTCTGCAAGGAGGCAGTGTGTCTAGAGGTTAGAGAGGTGAAAGGGGGATGAGGGCACCTGGCTTTTATTCCCAGTTCTGTGTCTCAGCTTTCATATATGTACATTTTGGTTAAGGATCATTGTAACCCCCATCTTCTCATGGGTGGCATGAAGCTTCTCTTCACATTGTGATCCCAGGGCATGAGAGACTAGGAGAGTGCAGAGCACCCCACTGACTGGGGCTGTTTCTGCTTTCTACTTCACCTCCCAATAGACAAGATCATCACTTCAGAGCTGTGGAATAGGGTATAGCTTGACTTCAGTGGTTCTTTCCCTGCAGATGAAGCCTCAGAGGATTTCCTGGAGTTGCTGGAGCTCCTTATTTCCCATGCTCGCACGTATGCTGTGTCGCTCACTGCCATGGAGGAGTTTCACATCAGCCTCTCGCAAAGTGTGGTGCTGCGTTATCATTGGATAACCCCCTTTGTGCAGTCTCTCAAGGAATACCTGGCCACTGCTTACAGGTGGGACTCAGAGCCATTGCAGATGCTCTCCCTGGGTGTCTAGCATCCCTCTGTATACTCCATGTTTTCATACCTTCCCATCCAGCTGCTGGTCTGCAGTTCTTAATTAGGATCCAAAGCACAGTGGGGAAGAATTGTTAATCCAGTGTCTGCTCATGAAACATCACCACACGGGGCCAGTGTTCCCTCTAAGTTGTGCGGCATATGTGGCCATGCAGGCACACCTGGCAGTGCAGCATGAGCACGCCTGCGCAACCGCGCATGCCACACAGCTTGCAGGGAACGCTGCATGGGGCTGAACCTTCACCAGGGAATTCAGTTGAAGTTTTCCGCTGATTTCAGAATCAAGCATCACACTGGGGGTGGGCAGGGCTGCCTCTCTCCATCTTCTTTTTGCCCTCTTCTCCCCCCCTGCCACCCTAACAATGCTGCACCTACAGCATGCCCGTGCAACTTACATCAGCTTCCAGCCTGCATGCTGGAAGCAGTGCCAGGCAGGTGCTGGCATCAGCTGTGGACACAGCTGGCAGGTTTCTACTGGGGATCTAGACATCTCCCCAAGCACCTTCTCAGGGTAGAAGGGTGGCTGAGAGGCGGTGCTGGTGGTAATGGGGCCCTGGCTGAACTGTCCCTACTGAAGCTGCTGCCCATGCCCACACTAGCTCCCTGCCTGCCCTCAGACCCATCCCACATAGGGCGGTTTGGTGAGCTGTTGCACAGGGTGGGGGAGTGTTGACCCAGCCTATGACAGCTCCCTAAAATTCCCTGTGTGGGCCCAAATAATTGCCCACCCCTGATTTAAGGTTAGGCACCTTCTTGCTTGGCTGTCAGTTCTCTCTCCTACTTTGTTCCTTTCCCAGCTGAATTAATTTTTTAATCTGTTCAGGTTCTTCTGTACAGTTGACCAGGTGAAGGTTTACACCAACCAAAACAAAACCAGGTAGGTGAGTAGCACAGCAGCCTTGTCTCTTAGAACACTGGAGAGAAAGCGGGAGATGGTACCAGGAGGATGTGTGGGGACTAGCTCATACACACAACTTCATGTACTGCCCACCCTCCAATTGGAACAGTCAGTGCAGGCTGGATGTGGCTTTGCCCCAGCTTCCTGTTACCCTGGGTTTTCATAAGTCCCCCTCTCCTCAGGGATGGCCCAGTATGGGTTAATTTTCATCTTGGGCTACAGCACTGGCAGCTTGTAGTATAGTGATAAATCCAATTATGTGATTAGGCTAGCTCAAGGCAGCTCAGTGAGCAGGTCCCTTTCCCTGGTGACTGTGCTTTGTGCTGAAGGATCTCAGCTTTCATTAAAAGAAAAGAATTGACTTATGCCTGTAGAAAATGTGACCATAGTATAACCAGTGTAGTAACATCTGCATGAGTCTTCATATGGCATGAAACAACAGTCCAGACAAAGGCAAGAGCCAGCTTCTTACCCAACCCACAACTTTTGTACCAATCTCCTCCTCACATGGTAATCTCCCACCTGACACCATGTTAAATGGTTTACAGAAGGCCAGCTGGATTAAATACCATGTGTCTTTTGTCTAGAGACATCAATTTTTATCACAGAAAGCAGTCGGATTAGTATGATTACCTTTTGGTAAAACAGGGCTGTACTTTATGCCATTTCCCTTTTACCTCAAGATATTATTCTTTTTTGCAAAGCTTCAGAAGAAACTTTGAATGCTATAGAGGTCAGATGAATGGGTCAGTAGTTGCCGAGATTGATTTCCTCTTTTCTTAGGTACTGAGGATGGGGATTTGGTTGCTATTAGCACCCTCCCAAATTCAATAGAGGTGCTCAGATGAAGTATTTGTGGAAGGCTCCCAAGAGGCCCTTGCTACATTCAGTCTCTTTCCCTGTCTGCTCAGGACCTTTGTAGGCTTGGAGGTCTCTTCTGGACATCCTCAGCTGTTGGAGCTGGTCTCAGGGGTGGACAGAGTTATGGAGGAGTTTGATCTCCCAACGTTCTACAAGGTAACTGCCTCTCCAGTGTCTTCTCCCTCTTCACCTCAGGCCAAAGCCAGAGCTCTTAGCTGACCCCAGCTTTAGTGTTGGAGGATAGAAACTCTATGAAGGACTTAAATTTCCAAATCCCAAATAAAAGAGAAAGGAAAGGCATAGTCTAGTGTACATTCAAATACTCGCCATGTCTTCTCTCCACTCCTTTAACTAGGGAACCTGGTTTTCTGCTCCTTTGTCATTCTCATGTCCTGTTTTTCCCACTGGTTACCACTCCCCAGTTATTAATTACTGCCTGCAGCAGCCTTAAGAGTTCAAGGTCCAGCAGTCCTGAGTGAGGCCTTTGCTGGCAGTGAGTGACTGAGTGTATTGAAGGTCTGAAGTCACTGATTACCAACAATAATCAAATTGGAGATGATTGTTGCTGTGTGAGAGCAGAGCTTGCACAGACCTTTCATTTCTGGATTACATCCAGCCCAGACCAGCAGTGCTTTAAAGCAGTACCATATAGTAGCCTGTCTGTGAAATGTGTGCCCTTAGTCTGAGTCCAGGACTTAAGGCAGGAGTAAGCATCATACAAATCACCCCAAAAAAGGTGGTAGCAGAGAGGGCAATGGTTGCTGTTGAATGGGTGAGAGAGTCTTACCCTGCTTAGGTTTTAGGCACACTGACAGGGCAGTGTGAAGGAAGTGGCACTGCTGGTGCCCATCTTGGGGACAGTTCCCTGAGTAGTCATTGACATGAAATTCACCTGTTGTGTATTTTAAAGAAAATCGATCTCTTTCTGAGCAGAGTAGGGCACTCGCTTCTGTCTTTGAAGTGTGATACATGCCCAGAGTGTGTACTTAAGGCTTAAAAATCCCGACATCATAACTGACAACTATAGGAAAACCTAAGGTACCTGTGCTCATGAACAGCACCCCAAGCTAACAGCCCACTGTATTCAGGAGAAGCCCGTATCCCCATGGAGTCTCTCTCCACATGCTGTAAAACCACCTTGCATTGCTGAAAGAAGCTAGGGAAAGAGCCCTTTGCTACTGATGTCAGAGGAAGATTGGAGCAGAGCAGCTGGGAGCGAGGCTTTGATTTCTGATGTTATATCTAATGCTGATTTGCATTGGGTCTGTGCTATAAAGTCATGATAATGCAGAGCTACGTCTCAGCACGAGGCTCCACTTATTTTTGCAAAGGGTTCAGAGGTTCTGGACAGTGCAACAGGTCTCAGACTTTACATCCCCCATGTAATTGCTTTGCTATTCATTATGCCTCATTTCCGTACAGAACCCCTCATTCCATATCAGCCTGGCTTGGTGTGTCGGAGACCTGACTGACAGGTTGGAAGGGCAGTGTCTCCAGAAGCTTCAGGTAACTGCTCATGCCAGCATCTTTTGAGGTGAAAGTAATGCAAATAATACCCAGCCAGATCTCCCAGGGTCTGTGAGGATGGGGAGATGCAGGTAACATCCCAGCTGTGTCACTTCAGTGAGCAAATCTTACACAGTGAATTGCCTTGGAGGGAAGAGAGTCTCTTCAGGTGAGGTATAACTGTCCTTCCCCAGCATGTGTTCCCCTTGAGCCATATGAACACTCTAAAGCTGTCCAGCCACTAATGCTGCCTTATCTTTGCATCTCTAAATTACATAACCCATGGTCTTTGTGCTTTGGAGGCCTGACTTGAATCTCTAGCAGCCTAGTGGCCTTGTATACACTGACCCTTCCCTTCCACCGGTTGTATTTTGCAGGAGATTGTGGATGGGTTTGAGGATTCTGCATTCCTACTACGAATCCAGTGGGAGCAAATCCGCTGCAAATCCGGGAACAAGTTGTTCTCCTTTCCCTTGAGGTAGGGAGCAGGAAAACCACATATTTCAGCTGCCCCAATGCCTGGTCTCTGCTCCTGAGACAAGAAATCAGTGCTGCACTGTGCAACTGGACAATCTGAAGATTCACATGTATCCTGAGTTGCTGATCTCTGCTCATCATCCCAATGGAGTTTGGAAGCTCAAGCCAGCCTGCTTTTAGTTTAAGTTGCTGGCCCAGAATGTGGATATTTGCACTATGATTCCTCACAGTTGCTGTTAGCTTGGGGTGCTGTTCATGAGCACAGGTAGCTTAGGTTTTCCTATAGTTGTCAGATATACTGTGGGGATTTTTAAGCCTTATTTATCTTCTGGTGAACTGAAAATGTGGGAGGGCATTTGCTAAAAAGAAGAATGTAGGGCACTGCATTACTAAGGGGATATAGAGCATAGTTGCTGTACTGAGCTAGGAGCTTTTAACAGCAAGATGAGGGTTGCTGAGTTTTATCATTCCCATGACAGACAGTCACAGCATCTCTGTGCATGTAGTTGATTGGAATAGGTTCCCTTATAAAGCTTTATTTTTTTTCTACTGTCAATGCTGTAGTTGCTATATGGATGCAATTCAGCATCTAATCCTCATTTCAAATTGATGTGGGATTAGAGCTGGCAAAGATATGGAAGTTCCATGACTCAGTGCTAGTCAGTGTGAGTCCAGGGTGGAATTAATGGGAAGTGTTCAGTTTAAACTGATCCACAGACTCTCTGAAGGGTGAGGAAGGGCAAAGGCACAGATTTCAAGATTTTTCCCTGGGAGCTCTCTCTAATATGAATCCTACTGTTATACTGTAAAGTGTCCAAAAGAGGGCAATGTTGGCTTTCATCACCAATCCTTTACAGCAGGAAACTGCAGATAGAAGAATGTGGTAGCCCTATGATCATCCTGGAGTCTAGTGAGCTTGCTGCTGTTTAGTTCCGTTTGGGTGCACCAAAAACATTGGTGTCCCGGGCTAACATTAACTTTCAGCCACACTGTTTGTCTTCAAAAAAGCAATTTTTTTGTAACAACAGTTCTGGATTCTCATCTGAGCCTCAGTCACTGGGAAATCCCCTACAGGCAATATATTTGTTCTGAGATGATGGGCTTTTGCCTCCCAGGTATTGTGGATGGAGGTTGGTATGCTGTCCAGTATCTTTTGCTTTGCGTTTATCTATTAAAAGACCCAGAGAGGCTCGTTTCTAAGCATTGGCACCTGCCTTTTCAATGGTGTAAAGCTGTTTTCTCAGTGCATTATAGGCAGCTAGGACCTGATTTTTTTTCAGAAGTCCTCAGCTCCTGCAGCTCCCATTGGCCTCCAGAAACCCTCCCTAGTCCTTCTTTCCAGCATGACATCAGCTGGTGGATGAAGTCAGTGATCAAAGCATAAAGACCAGAGGCACTGAGCCTGTCAGAGGGGCTTTGGTGCTCTTTAAAATATCTGTGTTTGGATGCCCTTTGTTTTTATGAGCTTTATATCTACAGCATATCATTTTAAAACTGTAATTGGATCCCTAGGGGTAGACAAGGGATGGCAGATGGAAGAAAATGTTTAAAAGTTTGTAGTAAAAAAAAAATAATCTAAAAATAAATAACTTTCTACTTCTGCGTCCTGTCCTTGTGACTGATTTTTTTTTAAACAGATGCTGGAGTGAGTCTGTCTGAGCACTCCTTTTCCTTAAGACAGTCACCTGGCTGTCTCAGCAGCTCAGTGCTGGCTGTAGTCACTGCTTCCCCCCAGAACAGAGCAAGGTCCCTTATGACCCAAGGGCAAATCCTGACCCTGTCAAGATCTCTGAGAGTTTTGACTTCAGTGGGGCTGAGATTTTTGCAGCCAGTGCGCAGTTATAGCAGCTGCCTTCATTGGAAGATACTTGAGCTTTTTTTTCTAAATGCTCTGCCAGATACCTGGATCACTTTATCATCTGTTCCCAAACAGCACTCTCTCTGTTCATGGATATTAGAAATGTCTACGTATCCCTTCCCTTATAAATAATGTAATAATTATATTTTTTTAAATCTTGGTTAATTGAGCTGTTTTTCCATTTTTAGCATGGTGTTGGTATAACCATGATTTGTATCAATCTTGTCTCCTGCAGTTACAACCCATGCGCGTGGTGTGCTGTGACTTACACCATGATATGGAACTTCATTGTTAATGCTGTATGTTTTCATAAACCACAGGTTCCCTGATACAGCGACCCTGAGAGGGAAGGAGACTGCATCCAGATGCACTCCGCTGTAACTGCTGTGGGTGTGGGTGGTACTTTGTCCATTTCAGCAGCCTATCCTATGAGGATCTTAAGAGTGCTTTATAAGATCCCCTTGCTGCTGCACACATCGGTAACCATAGCCATAAATTTACACCTAGAGAAACTAAGGCTTTTGAGTGAGTGATTTCAACAAGGTTTCCCAATGAGTCAGTTGCTGAACTGGGAGTTCTACCCAAATGACCAGTCTCCCAGTCCTTATCAGGACTCCATAAGCCTGCTTTCCCCCTGATGACACAAGTCGCAGCTGGGGAGTGGGTGGAATTTTGTCTCTGAGTTTGAAACTCATTTGCAAAAGTATCTTGGGCTATTACATGTTTTGCTTCTATAGATTTCCAGTGAAGCTCAGTCTCCTAAAAAAAAAAAAAAAAAAAAAAAAAATGTGCTTCTGCTTTGTGTCCATAAGCAGAAGGGTAATGCTCACTCAGTAACCATGGCAGCTAACAGTGTTGTTTCCCTCCTCAGAAGCCTAAGTTGGCACATAGTACCTTTGCATTGCTGCATTTTGCAGCTCAGCCAGAACTCCCTGTCTATGCCTGTGTAACTAAATTGGCTAGTCCTCTATCCTCCCAGTACCCTGTGGAATAGGACATCCCAAAGTGCATTGCCCACTGTGTTGCTGGGGCTTGCCTGCATGTGTATCTCTTTGGGCACTCTCACCTCTGCTAATGGGGCACTATAGGATAGTTGCCTGTATTTCTCAGAATGCAGGAATCCAGATACACTTAAGCAATGTAGTAGGTGCCTGGGGAACGCCTGCTTGGCACAAGGTTGTTCTGGGGGGAAAAAAGCCTTCTGTTCTCCATAGTGAACTCTGCACCAGCTGGGTCAGATCGTGGCTGCAAACGTACATCTGCTCTTGCAGTGTAGACAAAGCATTAGGAACCACAATGAGGGGGATGCAAGATATAAGCCACTGTTGCGGGGCTGGAGGGAGATAAGGTCATCTGCCTTCAGGTAGTGGGGGCCAACTTTTTGGCAGGCATGCTAGAGATTACCCACTGCTCTTCCCAAGTGCCACTCTAATCCCCTTCCCCTGCCCAGTCTATTGCTCTGCTTTCTGCTCTCTGCCTTGTGCTCCCTCCCCAGTCACTGTTTGGCTTTCTGCTCCCTGTCCTGATCTCCCTGTTGCTCTGCTTTCTGCTCCCTGTCCTATCTGCTGCTGTACTGCCTACTCCCTCCCTGATCTGCCATGTACAGAGCCTATGTATGCCACTTGTGGCACATGCTTCAAGTTGGCCACCCTGGCTTAGGAGATGCTAAAGTTCTGTGTCCTGATTGCCTCTGTGCTCAAGCAGCACTTCTCTCACCATCATTTGTGCAAGGGTCCTTCCAAATACTTTTGTGTTTGTGCAGTTTCTGGCCCCCCTGCAGGGATGAGGGAGTATTTTCCTCTTCTGCTTATCCTTTTCCATTTGACAAACTCAGATTGCCTTCCCTACCAGCAACTGGAGCATGAAGGGACTGTAAACCTTGCACAGTCCTTTCTTTCCTTGACTGGTCCCTGAGGCTCTGCTGTAGCTAGAGACGTGGGGCTGTTTAGTCTCAGGAAGTGTCTTTCTGCAGCCAGCAGGGGGAAGACTCACCACTACTCCAGGGCTGACCACTTTGCCCCTGAGCTTCTGAGGTCCACAGAACTAACCGGCCTTCCAGCCAAAGGATCTCAAAGGTGAGATGGAGACACGGCCTTTATAGATGTCCTTCAAGCCCTCAGTCAAAGAGAGTTAATGCCATTGAAAGTAGTACAGATGTTCTGGATTTACACTAGGGGTGCTAAGCAGAGCCCAGCATTGGATGCACAAGGTGCATATAATTGCAGATTTAGGCTGTTGGCTTGGTACTTTCAGCACATTCTACTGGAGGGATCACTTCCTTAAATGGCCCAGCATAGCTTATTTCCCCATTCTGCTGACAATCTGTAAGTCTGGCATGCAGGAAGACAAGGCCTTTCATCCAGAATTTGAGGGCACTCCATTCCTTCTCTTGCTATATGCACCTTCCCCCACTTAAGCTATGTTTGCATTTCATGAAGTATAATGGGGCCCCAGCAGTTCCCTGGGGAGGAAGAGGTGGTTCTCTCTGCTATTGGAATGGATCATTCAGCTACTTGGGACCGAGTCCTCCCAAGGTTTACAGAACCTTGCTACAGCCACATGTCTTATACAAAGGCATCATCCAGGTACTGATGGAACTGCCCACGCTGTGTTTACCTGAAAGGTCCCCCATGCACTAAGTCAGATACTCACAGTGGCTGCAACTTCACCATGTTCTTCAGAAACTGAGCACTGAGTGCATTTGGATGAAAAATTACAGCACCTTCACCCCTTGAATTGGCCTTGGGTACGACGGCTTAGGGGCAGGGGTATACCTGGAATGTGTTTGGCCCCCAGGGAGAATTTCCTGGGAGTGAATCATCTCACAGGCTGAGATAGAACTGAACTCTTGCTGTGCTATGTATAAGCAACATGGGTGTGTTGTGAGGCATAGTCAGCGTCTTGTGATTCCTGGAGACTTGGGCTTCCAAATCTCAGCTTTCATTTATATTCACAGCATCAGGCCCTGCCCTAGCCCCACCCCATCTACTGTCTAGTGAGGGCCCTGCCCTAAGCAGAGTTTCTGAGACCTGAAAAAGCAGAAAGAGCCATGGGTTCTAGAAAGGCCCTTGGGACCCGTGTTGTCAGTCTCAATGCCACATGATTTCTGCTCTTGGTCATAACTGAAATTCCTCTTCCCCTAAGTGCATTGTGAGATGACCCTCTGCTCAGGAACAGTGTGCTTTTCAAATACACCTTTGGTATTTCCACATTGAAAGTCAAACACACCAGAGGCTGTTCTTGGAGAGGGGACAAAGTCCAGACAGTAGTTTGTATTGGACAAGCCAGGTGTATTACATATAGGAAAACCGCTTCTGAAAAAAATCTCTTAAAGCTAGAAAGCCCCTTTTTCAGTTCTGCCTTCCCTCATGCAGCCAGGTACATTTCAGTACCTGAATATAATTGTTCCAACCTTTTCAAGAAAAGGTGTATTTAGGAGACAGCATATTGGCTGACACATTTTAGCTTATGCTGGACACTTCTGCATCAAACCACAACTGCTTTGCAGCCCCATTCACAAAAGTGACTGCTGCTTGCTTTATATGTTAATTTTTAGGTGCCCAGTTCAAGACACTGCCAGAGGGACTGAGCATTTACACTCTGGCTGCCTTCACCTGGATCCTCAGAGGCTCAGCATCTCTGAAAATCAGGCCCCAGATCTCTCAGATCAACTGAGCTTGCTAGAATCAGCAGCCAGTGTTTAATTGTTTTGACCAGAGCTTTCACTGGTCATGATATCTGATTTCACCTGTTCCTCCACAGCACAGAAGCCTCTGTGCTTACTGTCTGTGTGCGCATGGGGCTCTCTCTACCTGACTTGTCATGAGTGTGCCCATGTTAGCAGTGTGCGCGTGTGCCACTGGCAGGGAACAGAACAATCACTGATCTCTTCACAGTCAAGGGAAAATTCCAAGCTCCTCCTCTCGAGGCAGCTTCAGAGGGGCGGGATGTCTTTATTATGTTTGTGAGAAACTCAGAGGCAAGGCAGAAGGGATGTGTATAAGACTATAGGTTCCCTGTGGCAGCTGCCTGCCAATAAAGCCTCAGTGAATGGGGTGTGTGGGTGTGCCAGGTGTAACTAGGGGGCTGAGGGTGGGAGCATGACGGGGGTGTGTGCATGATGTGTATGTATGTGCTGGTGTGTCAGGTGTGTGATGGAGGTATGACGGTGTATGATGATGTGTGTGATGTGATGGGTGCGTCGGTGTGTGTTTGTGTTGTGTGTGTGTGATGGGTTGTGTATGATGATGTGGGGGGGGTGCACGTGTGTGTGATGCTGGGTGAAGTTGTGTGTGTCCTGGCTGTGTGGTGGGGCGATG